TTTCTATTTCCGGGCCGTCTTTTAAGAGGTGCAATGGATGTTTGGCACCAGAATCCACTTTTATAGAGGCCTTCAAAATTTAGTATTTAGTAGTAGCTATACGTTGATTTTTTTTGAATGTAATGTATTATTTCGTATTTCAAAAGGTCTGTAACTTTTAGATTGTCCAATTTGTGTACTTACATTATAAAACTTATTTTTTCACTGAATTATCTAGTCCATTTGTATTTTATTATTAAATTTTGTTCTTATTTTATGAGGTCTCAATTCGTCATTTGGAACGAGGGCCTCCAAATTCACAAGAGGCACGTAACAATCTACTTAATTGTATTACACAATGAAAATGAAACGATTGAGATATAGTCACCTGCCTAAAAACTTAAATATGAACCCTATTGTTATTAAAACATCATATAAATTTCAACTTTTTTTATATTTCATCACCGCCATTAAATACACTCGTTTTACGTGGGATGATGTCACCATAATGTCACGCACCCATTTTAAAACACAGTGGGCTCATACTCAAGGAGTGTTTGCACTTCCTTAAAAAAAGTGCTTTTGAGCTTTTGGATTAAAAAAAGCTGAAAAGAGTGTTTTCAAATGACAACTTCTGCTTAAATTAATTACTTTAAAGCTAAAAGCTAGAAGCAGGTGGAAGGGTGCTTTAGGGAGTGTTTGCATTTGATTAAAAAAAGTGCTTTTCAGCTTTTGGCTTAAAAAAAGTTAAAAAGAGTGTTTTCAAATGACAACTTCTGCTTAAATTAATCACTTAAAAGCTAAAAGCTGGAAGCAGGTGGAAGGGTGCTTTAAACTGCTTTTCACTTTTTCTATTACACAAAAAGTACTTCTTTTACCAAACACTACCAACTTTTACTTTTTCAGAATCACTTTTTCCCCAAACACTACCAACTATTACTATTAGTCACTTTTCCCAAAATCACTTTAAAAAATCACTTCTTTAAAGTTGAAACAATTGCAAACACTCCCTTAAACTGCTTTTCACTTTTTCTATTACTTAAAAAGCACTTATTTTACCAAACACTACCAACTTTTACTTTTTCAGAATCACTTTTTTCTCAAACACTACCAACTTTTACTATTAAGTGCTTTCTCCAAAATCACTTTAAAACATCACTTTTTTAAAGTAGAAGCAATCGCAAACACTCCCTCAATCTGCTTTCTTTCGCTTTTTATTTGAGTTGTCAACTAAACCTCTATATTTACGGAGTACTATTTAGCCACCTCCGCTCCATTTTTCATTTTTAATTCCCTCCATTTTTCCCCAGCTATGTTGTACGGAAACGTGAAAATCATGAAGAAACAGACAAGGAGAAACATTAACTTTTGCTCAAAAAAGGCTTGTTTGGAGAGTTTTCAAAGAGTTTCACTAGAGTTTTCGAAATGGAAACATACTATTTCCCGAGAGTTTCCGTGCTACATAGATCCTCAGTGTAGAACTTCGAACTTCAAAATATCCGCTTTTAACATTTGGACTCTTAATACCTTTGGTTACAAATGGTCTAATAAGTACTTCACGCCATATGAAAAAACTTTTCGCGTTCTCTTATACGGAGTAATTAATTACTTTATGCTTCTTGATATTTTTCCATCATCTACACAAACCTAACCACCTGATATATACTACCTCCGTCTTGTAAAGAAGGTCTCATTTTCCTTTTATGGATGTCCTAAAAAGAAGTTATCATTTTTATAAAAGGAAACCACTTTTAGCCAAAAAGTCACAACTACCCTTATTTTTTACTCATTTTTTGCTTGATTTGACATAAAGTAAGGGTAAGCTTAAAAAGTCAAAATAAAACACTACCTTACATAAATATGTGTGTAGGTCAAACCAGGAACTTCATTGCGGGACGGAGGGAGTACTATTTTTTTTGCCGATCAAATTTGAGAAAACTTTAAGCGACGAGTATAAAACAATGTTATATAATTATGAATAATTGTGAAAGTTATGATCTGTATAATTAGAAACTACCGATCAAAGAGCTAAAGTATCATAGATTTTGATTTGCTTCATTTTTATTTATTTTATGTTTCGCTGATTTTTTCGCTAATTTTAATAGTTTAATAAAGTTAATAATTATTCACAATATTAAAAAAAATCAATGATATCTTTGGTTATAGATGATAAGTTTTCAATTATTAAACCTTAGATCGACAATTTCTTTCTTTCATATCTTACCCATCTAGAAAGACTTAATTTGAAATTATAAAAAAAAACTCATAATAAATCAACCTCACATGTAGGATCATCTTTGTAGTAGATTCAAGTCTACCTATGCAGCTCCAAGGCGGTGTTAACAAAAAAAGAGTTCTAGATAGGTTAAACACCGGAAGACTATTATGAAAACATAACTCTATTTATATTGCGTCAAATACTTTGTCGTCTGATGACATCGTTATCAATATCTCAAAGAGAAAGTTATTATTTCGAATCTCATTCTAATCAAGGATGCTGACATTAATTTTAACAGATATTATAATAAATTTAAAAGAATATGCAAGAAATTCTATTTATATTCACATTGAGTCGAGTCTCATAGTGGAATATTGGAATGACTAATTCCACAAATCCGCTAAACTAGTCTTTATGTTGTACTACCTCTGTCCTACTAATGTTAGGACATGAAGAGGAGTATATAACTTATGACTTTGGAGAAAAGATAAAATAATAATAAAATAATACGGAGTAATAATTTAGAATCACACAAATTTGGTATTCAGTCATCTATAAGTCTATAACCGTAGAGGAGTATATAACTTGTGACTTTGGAGAAAAGATTTATGTGAAACTCGTATGAGTTATTGTACTTTAAATACTTACTTCAATTCCTTTGTGATAAATTTGATATTATTCACATATTCTATTTTGACTACGCTGTATGTATTAATGTATTTATATTTTTTTTTAAATGTCAACTTTGTCTTATTATAAATTTTCATAATCAGATTTTTTATTTTTATTCTTTGAAAGAAAAAAATATATATAAAATTATAAAAAATATAGAATTATATATATATACTAATATTCAAATTTAAAAGTATTTAATGGCTAAAATTGTACACCTGCGAACATTAAAAATGAGTAAATGGTCAGTTTCATCCTCGAAGTTGCATAAAAGAGGTCAAATAAGTCCTTATATAGAAGATTTTGTTCGGACGTGTCATTTGAGGCGGTTCCTGGTGGAATTTTGTGATAAATTTTTTTGAGCATCTTATTCAATAAGTCTAGTTTACTCATACTAAATTTTAACTAAAAAATCAATCGGGAAGACATTCAAATGAATCCTTGAAGATAACTGCGCTTTTAACTGCAGAGTTTTCTTCAAGAATTCATTTGAATGTCTTCCCGATTGAATTGTAATCTGAAATTTGGTATGAGTGAACTAGACTTAATGAATAAGATTCTAAAAAAATTCATCAAAAAATTCCACCGGGAACCGCCCCAAATGGTGACGGCCGGATAGAACCTCCTACATAAAGATTTATTTGACCCCTTTTATGTAAATTTGAGGACCAAACTGACTCTTTACTCCATTATAAATGAACTCTTGCACTAGAGTAGATGAAGTATTAAACATTTCGTACAGGAAGTCAGGAATTAGGATCCATTTGACTTATTTGTGTAATCTCATTTGAAATTGAAATATTTATCTCACCAACTAACTAGCCGTTATAATTAAACCGTTATAAATTTAGAACTACCCCACCCCCAGCAGTAAATGTAAACCTGGTGGGGAGGGGTTACCCGCCGCAAAATTCACCCGGAGCGGTGACAGACAGCAAGATATGCATTGCGGGACACTGACACGTAAGGAGTACCTCACACTACACAATAAAACCCCTAACCTGCACATGGTTTAGCTGTCTTTCTTGCCCCATTTCAACCTGCCCCCGTATCTTAACAAATTTTAAAGTGACACCCCATATGAAACCCTTTTTTTGTATTTTGTCGTTAAAAAACGAAAATTACTTTAAAAGTTGTCTCAAGATAAAGGCAGAAATAAGATTCCGACAGATTGAACCAAGTACTTGATTTATAAAATCCTAAATACGTAAGACTTTATAAAAGTAATTTTTATCAAATTTTTGCTTCTTAAATAAGAATAATTACTGTTATATTGATATAATTTTGTTCCTAAACATAACATTTTTTCCAAACTTGAGAATAATTGCTCATATTTAGAATAATTTCAAAACATTCCTAGCTCTTTTTAGGCTTGGTTGGAACAATTTCTGTAACTACGTATTAATTTACTTATACAGTACAATTCCATAAGAGCATCTCCAATACTACAATGTGTACGGTGCACATGTGGCATGAGAGAAATAGACATAAAAGATTGATTTTATGACATTTTTCTATCCGTCTTTTCATGGTCTTATGTGTTTTTTGTAAGTTTTTCTCTGTAATGTCAACCACGATGTCTACATCTAGACATTGTGAAGAAAAACTTACCAAAATAATATAAGATTCTTCAAATAAGGTGAAATATACTTTATTTATTGTTTTTTGATTGACTATTTCTCATATCACGTATGCCTTGTTAACGTATTAGCATTGCAGATGCTTTAAGTGTTATAGATGTGACTTGATCCATTCAATAACCGATTATAAACCTATAAATGAATGTATAAAATCATTAACTATATATTCTTTCTAAAATATTGGATTCATCCCTAAATAAAAGTCTCTTTCTTTTTCGTGTCGTCCCTAAATAAAAATCTCATTTCTTTTTTATAAACAAAATAGTGCAAAATAATATTTAAATAGTGCCAAACAATCTTCATTTCTTCCATGAATCAAGAATAATAACAACGTTAATATCATAATTGTAATAAAATGTCATGTTTTCAGAAAGACAAATTTACACCATTTAGAAAGTTAATAAAATCATCTTTGTTTTATATACCCATATTTTAACAATTTCTTATAATTAATAGGATCAATGTTTACGAAGACATTCTTTCAAGGACATTCATTCAATTTTTATGATCCAAAAATTAGCATAACAGAAAAATTTAAAAAAAAAAATTATGACTCTAGAAATCACTACATGTCAAGGAAGCTAAAAAGGGAAACATTCACTTCAAGTCTTTCTATCCATTTGACATAAAATTCATTTTATTTCCGGGCTTTCTATAAATATAGCCATACCTTTTTTGCACCCCTATAGACCACTTAGACAATAACCCATAAACCTTACTCTCTTATCTAATAATGTCGAAGGCACCGGCAATAAGCGACGAGGGGCCGGCTCACCACGGGAAAGACTACGTTGACCCACCGCCGGCGCCCCTCTTCGACGCCGGGGAGCTCCGCCGCTGGTCATTCTACCGTGCACTCATCGCCGAGTTCATCGCCACCCTCCTCTTTCTCTACGTCACCGTCGCCACCGTCATCGGTCACAAGAAGCTTAACGCCGGAGACCACTGCGACGGCGTCGGAATTCTCGGAATCGCCTGGGCCTTCGGTGGCATGATCTTTGTCCTCGTTTACTGCACTGCCGGAATTTCAGGTTCTTGTCCATAAAATTTTGATTTGATTTTTGGGTATTTTACATCTTGTATTTGTATATTTAATTTAATTGGACTTTCCGGTGGCCGGTGTAGGAGGACATATAAATCCGGCGGTGACATTCGGGCTGTTCCTGGCCAGGAAGGTGTCTCTAATAAGGGCAGTGTCCTACATGGTGGCACAGTGTTTGGGAGCCATATGCGGGGTGGGGTTGGTGAAGGCGTTTATGAAGCACCACTACAACCAGCTCGGCGGCGGCGCAAACGCCGTGAGCGGCGGCTACAACAAGGGAACGGCCTTGGGTGCTGAAATAATCGGAACATTCGTGCTGGTCTACACCGTTTTCTCAGCAACCGACCCAAAGAGGAGCGCGCGTGACTCTCACGTCCCTGTTCTGGCTCCCCTGCCCATCGGCTTTGCGGTGTTTATAGTCCACCTCGCCACCATCCCCATCACCGGAACTGGGATCAACCCCGCCAGGAGCTTCGGCGCCGCTGTCATCTACAACAACAAACAAATATGGGATCAGCACTGGATCTTCTGGGTCGGGCCGTTCGTCGGAGCTCTGGCCGCCGCCGCCTACCACCAGTACATCTTGAGAGCTGGGGCAATTAAAGCTCTGGGATCTTTCCGCAGCAACGCCAGCAACTGATTTAATGATTATGGTGTGGGTATATATCGTTCATGGAATTTGAGGATGGATTTGATTATCATTTATTAAACTTCTTTTTATTGTTTAATTTACTCTGTATCTGTTTGCTTTGCTGATGAATTGTTAAACTACCTATTCTAATTCTATTGTCTTTTCTCGTGAAATGCATATATTTTCATGTTAATTACTTAGTAGTACAGTATTACAGAGTATCATTGCATGATTTGTTTTTGGCCATTGTATTAGAGTGAATATTGTCCAAGATGATTATACGGAGTATTAGTCACACACAACATAGGAGTATCCGAGTATGCATGGTAATACCGTTAAACTTTGAAGTCAAACTCATGGGCGGATCCAGGAAATAAATTTATTGGGGGCACCTTATTAGTAAAGTCACCAGAGATCGAAACAAGAAAATATAATAAAAATTTAAAATATAAAATTGATAACATTATTCAAATACAAAATATCACTTTTATCACAATTACTCTATGGGCGTTCATTTTTTGAAACCTATTCATCACGACATCGTCTGTAACGTAGTCTTTTCTTATCATTTATTGAGGAAAATCATAGCCACAAGTTTGACTAGAACTTGCTCTAAATAGGACCAAAACTTAGACAAAATATACAAATAGAATTACATGTATTTTATTTTCAAAATAAGACTTATTTGATTCGATCTATTAAAAGTACAAAATTTTCCTATTAAAAAAAAAGTCTCATTTTAGGAAGAAAACAATGATAGTTCTATATGTGCACTTTATTTATGTTGTAGTCTTATATAAGGAATTTTCCTTTACGTGAGTATTTTCGTTTTTATCGATTTGATATTTTGATTAGAATGATATCCAAAAACTGTTTTCCTTTCTGCATGATTGGAAGGGAGTATTCCAGCCAATTACTTAGACACTAAAGGAGTACACATTATTTTAATATAATACATATCGCTTGGACGTTTTTCTTTATCACCCCATTAATTATGATTAGATGGAACTATGGAAGTAATTTTCTCTTATAGTACGGAAGTATTTCTTTAATCTGCTCCAAAAAAATTGATTCAAAATAAAACAAATTACATTAAATTTAATTAATCATTAGTTAATTAAGAAGAGAGTAAAGGAAACGACTAGCTACGCATTATTCAATAGCTAAGACAATCAAAATAAATGAGTCACAAACATTAATTATTGATGGGAGCACTGCTTATTTTTGTTGGGGGCACTCTACTATTAATTTATGAAAAGAATGATTTTGTAAGCTAAAAACTCAAACATATTGAGAAGTCATTGGGGGTATGTGCCCCCATCGTTTAGATAGTACATCCGCCCCTGGTCAAACTGTGTCGGGCTAATTGTCCGAATTGTTGTAAATGTGGTTCTTAGCTCTCACCGTTAAATTGTTATACATGTCATTCTCACAGTTAAATTTAAACTAGCACTTATACCTGTCAACAGGTCGGATACTGGCCGGAACTATAAACTCCATATTCATATCCGTTGAAATTTTTTCGTCCAGATCCGGACCCATTTACCCTTCGGGTCCTAAACATATGTTCCAGATTTGGATCCGACGGGTCTCGGATCCGAGCAGAGTATATCTGCAAAAACAACTGAATGACATATGCAAACAAATGTATGTTGTGCTATTCATTACTCCTGCTATTCATTACTCCGTATGAACTATACAATATATATGGAGTATGTTATATGTATATTACTGAACTAATAGAGAACCTAGAGCACTAACTCATTAGCGAAAATCTCATTATAATGGGCCAATCACTAAATAAGCCTACGAATATTAAAATATTTTTACATATTTTTCTTATATGTAAAAAATTATAATTATAATTATGTCATCACGGGTCGAATTCAAAACGGACCGGAACTTAAAAATTCATATCCGACCCATTTTCTTTATCATGTAACGGGTTCGGATTCGAATCCGGAAAACGGTTCTAAATTTAGACTCATATCCTCAAATAAAGTGTCAGATTCTGATTGGGTCAGGGGCTAGACCCGACCCATTGATAGGCCTACTAACACTGTCCTAACTATGTATTACAGTATTACAGAGTATTATTATTCAACTGCTACATTCTCATTGGTCCATTTGGTACCCTCCTAAAAAATGGGGTACCGTACCTACCATTCATTTGATTGGACCACATCACTTCATCATTTTTAATTTAGATTTAAATATAATTCAACTGTTACATTCTCATTGGTCCATTTGGACAAATGTATGATACCTTATGAGTACCATAGAATCTACCATTATTATTACCTGATTTGTTTTGGCCAATGTATTAGTCACACACAACATAGGAGTATGCATGGTAATATTGTAAAACTTTGAAGTCAAACTGTGCCGGACTGATTGCTTGAATTGTTATAAATGTGGTTCAAATTGTTGTGAATGTGATTCTCACAGTTAAATTTAAACTAAAATTGTTAACTTTTAGAACTTTTAACACAATTAGAGTTAAAACTTTAGACAGAGTAAATACTACCTCCGGTTTTTTTTAATCTTCACAGTTTGACTTCACACAAAATAAGGAATGAAATTTGACTTTACTGTAGAGTACACTGTTGAGGCACTGTTTGACACTGTTTGGCACTGTAGAGACACTGTTTGGCACTGTTGAGACACTGTTTGGCACTGTTTGGCACTGTTTTGATGTAGATTTCTTTGCCAAAAAAGGAAATAAGGAAGTGTGAAGTTTATTTTAGACCGTCCAAAAAACGAAAGTGTGAAGTTTATTAAAAACCGGAGGGAGTATTAAAACTCTAAACTCGACTTGATTGTAATAAATTCAGCTTTTTTTATTTAAAGTCACACACCAGATATCTCTGAAAGAATTAAACATTTTATTAAGATCTGAACTACTCCTCCTATCAGATTGATCTTTTAATATAAACACCTAGATCTTAACATTAAACTTCCCAAAGGGGAAGGTCTTCACACAGTAGATATCATTAGATTTTCTTCCCTCATAAAAAAGTTCTAATCTCACATCTCTCATAGGCAGGGGAGGATCTATGCACGGGTTATGGTAGACTGATGTCTAGAGCAATTTCATTTTTTTTTAATTTTTGTAGTGTAAATTTTTTCATTTTTCACAGTTAGCCCACCCATCTAGTATTTAAACATAGTATAATTTCTATTCAGCCTAGAGCATCTCAAATTCTTGGATCCGCCCCTGCTCCTAGGAAGGCTTTCAATCACAATTTTCTACGGAGTAAAACTTTTTACAAGAATCTACATAATTTCACATTTTTATATTCTAAATTCTTCCACAATTCACAATTTTCTATAATATTTTGCAAGATTCTACATAACTTCACATTTTTTAAAAACGTTCTAAAGTCTTCCACATTCATCACCATATTTCTGGATAAATTCACAACTCTAAAAGACTCATTAACATTATACGGAGTACTATATTTCCACATGCTTAGCAGAATGCTACTTGGATGACAATATTCTAAAATTCTTTTCAGTTTCTCAATGAGGGTAATCGCTATAGTAAGGTTAATTAATGACAATAGAAGGTCCCAAACGCAAGCTAAGACATTTAAGTTGCACCTATCCGTTAGGCTTCGACTCGTCACATCCCGTGCTTTGTTGTTGTAGCTTTACTTTTAGATTACAGTACATTACAAGCATGTTTAATTGCGAAAGGGGACTTTTTTATCTTGTATTTTTCCATTCTTTCTCGAGGTTGCAAATTCAAGTGATTCCTTCTGCAACATTTAACTAAAACAGATAGATTTTAACCGTTGAGCTAAAGTGTGAAAATGGAGAGAATTTAATTTCCCTAAAAGATGAACCCACTTAGTCACTGTGATATATCATTATATAAAAATTGTGTTGTAAATTAAATTTGTTTTCTATAATGTTTTGGACCTAATTAAAATGTATTTAAGTTGTTGGAAAGGCCTAAAGTAATAGAAAAGTATAGAAGAAATAAATCCTAGAACTTCTCTAGCTACAAGGTGAGGTTTCTAGTATAAAAAGCTTAGCTTCTCTACCACCACTGTGTATCAAGCAAATCTAATAAATTGAGCTCTTCAAATACAAGGAGTTCTTCCTTTCACTCAATTATCTCTTTCAAATTATTTCTAATTTATCTTTCAATTTTCTGAACCTTCCTTCAAATATTTTCAACAAATTGAGTTCTTCTAATACAAGGAGTATTGTCTTTGTTATGTGCAACATGTTGATTTTTACACAATTCACATGTTTTACTTTAACTACATTTTTTTATCGATGTACTACAAATATTGTTAAAATATGTTAATTTTTTTTCTTTATAGAGGGAAACATGAAAAGGGGAATGTTGCACTTCTTTAACAATGGAGGTAGCATTTAAGATTATCTCTATCAAGATAACATAGCATTCCCCACCAGTCCTTTTCATTATACTACTAATTAAGCTTACCTTCTACTCTGCTTATGGAGTTTAGAATTAAGAGTTAAGTTTTATACTAAATGACCAACGACCTAATAGAAAGAGTAATTGAAGCAGTATATCTAATTTTAGTTAAAAGATTTGGGATGGCTTAACATAAAAGTTGCTGGTGATAGTGTTCCGCTGGTCCTAAAAATTGCTAATGTTGCTGTTTAGTGTTTTGTGTTCTACAAACATAGATTCTTTCTCTTTTATGTTTAACATAATTAATTGTGATCTTTTATTGCGTTTTAAATTACTTTATATTATTGTGCAACATAGGATATGAAATTTAGAGTATCATTTTCATCAGGCCACTAACGGAGATCACGTCGAGCTGACTCCATTTCTTTTAAAAGAAAATCATGATTCAATTATTTTGTTCATTAATACTAATTGTTGAAGCATTTGTCCCATACCGGAAAGCTATAAAAACAATTAAAAACTATATAAGGCTTTGGGCTACTCCTCCTATCAAGTTGACTTTTAAGGATGGAACCTCGGATCTTAACATGGTATCAGAGCCAATTTCAGTTATGGCTTGACGGCTTGTTTAGCACCCAAGATTAAGGGTAGCTTGTTAAGGGTTTGTTAGGCCCGATTATACACCCCGATATTGTCCAGCCCGGTTCGGGCTGAGGGGGCGTGTAGAAGCATTTGTCCTCACACCGGAAAGCTATAAAAACAATTAAACACTATACAAGGCTTTGAGCTACTTCTCCTATCAGGTTGACCTTTTAGGATGGAACCAATCTTAACACTAACTATCAGTTTATTCGAAAGTGGACCCTTTGACCTGACTTTTTCACCTCTAACGCCCATCATATTTAAAAC